AAAATATAGAGGTTTTGAAAAGAGGTTTCTCCTTTTTGACAGCCACAGAACAATATTTTAATCGTATTTCACGTAGGAATAAGCGTTTTTCCCGCGGTAAAAAGTATTCTAGGTGTTGACCAGGGCTAGTAGCTACACACCACAAAGAGTCTAATGTACACACGTACTATATTTTCGAAGATTATCGCGAACAAATGATTTAGGGTAAAATATTTTTCAATAGATGTCGCTTTTCTATGGAGATGAGGTTTTCTAAAACGCGGTATAGAGGTGTTTTCTGAAATCTATAAGAGGTTCCTGTTACCCCGACCAGTTACGATTTTATTAGATGTATATAGATATATAGATATAGATTAATTAATTATAGAATCTATCTAGACTTGTGCACGCAACTACATTCGCAAAATCAGAGCCCACATATAGGGGCAAATTTACCTATTAGATTCAGAACAATAGGTACAGAATATTACGCCAATATGGTAGTATGCAAACTAGTCCAAATCATAATTCAATTACTTACCGCTCAACATAATTAATTTGTACATACGCAACCATTCTATACATGAGATAGAATATATAGAGCCAAGGCAATATTGGTATTATGCGAATCAGCTATTAAATTTGAATAGTTTGCTCGACTTAGTACAGATTACAGGGTGGAGTTAATAAGAGAAAAACAGTCTTATGTAGCATCAGCAAACGTTTTTCTGTAGTGTTAAACTTACGTACTTAAGTTAAAGATGTAGCTGGACAAAGAACTAATTTAATTCCTTTTTTAAAGTATGTAGATACTTTAAAAGTTTTCGACAGTCTTCCCATCAGAATATCGGAAGGAGGAAAAACTTAATGAGGATGAAAAGACATTTGCAAAGAACATACCTACATACAGAACAAACAATAGAAAATAACACTCAAAACCGTGTTCGGATATACCCAAACATGCAAATGGAAACCAAACACAATAGCTCCAAAACTGTTGGAGTTGATAAGTTTGTTCATACAGACTTTCTCTGATCGAAGATATAAATAGAGTTGACAGAACAATAAGAATTTTGCAGTAGACTACGAAACATTTAAAAATACGTTGTGTATAGGGCAGAGTAACGAAAACTTTGCAGGCTTGCTCAGACCATAAAACTGAACATCTTTGCTCTTGGAACATACCAAAGGTGGTAAATGCAACGAATTATAGATGTTAATTCGTTGGGTAAATGCACTTTCTTTTTACTTCCCATACAAAGTAACTCGGCTCATCATGAACTTTGTATGGAAGGTCGGAAAATTTGTCTCATTTCCCATAATTAGCTCCATAGTAAAAGATGTTCAGTTTCACGGTCTTATCATACCTAGCAAACTTTTCGGTATACCTGTCTCTTACACTGTGTATACTGAAGTGTAGGTAATTCTGATAAAGAATCTCAACAACAGCTCGTACTAATTTCCTAACCACGAAAAATTCGTAAGCGTTTTCCGGCGAAGAATCTAAATGCATTAAGGGCACCCGAACCGATAAAGACAAATCGTTCCGATCATTATCAGCTGGAACGAATTCAATTTAAACAATCCCAATGAGGAGCGATCTTCAGAAGATACCACAGCGTATGTAAATGAGAAATACGTTTACTACCTTGTTCAATAAAGAATAGGATTTTAAATGGCGGCAGTGTCGTAGGTGGGAGGGGGAAAGCATGAACGCCTGGTGTATGTAAGAGCCTTAGTGCAAGTGAGAAAGCATGACTTTGGGCCGCCATATTTAATCCAATTCTTTATTGAATGAGATTATACCTTACAAGCCATAACCTCACGGATGAGTCTAGGTATAATTTCATCCATCGTCGCTATCATAAACAGTGCGAAGACGTGTACTTACATACTGCTTTTCAGGTTTTTTAAAGATCACCTGGGTTGGGTAAATAAGAAGCATGTTTTACTGACGTCTTGTTGGTGTAGGCCTCTTCAAGCACTGTTATAATCTGTGTGTGCCTTTTTTCTCGACAACTAAACTAGGTAACATAAGTCAGCAAAACCTTTCTAAGCCTCTACAAGTCAGTCGATGGAAGTCAAAAACCTAAAGAGCTTTCATTAGTCAAGCTTTATTTGCCTGCTTGTTGGTGTCCCTACTGAAACAGTTTTTTTCTGTACCTTAGTGTACCAACCCGAGATTCCCAATAAATATGCAATGAACCGGTTCAACGAAACGAATCAATCTTTCTATGCCAACAAGAAATGTATTTCGTAGTAATATAAGGTAAGTATTTACTTACATACCTACTATTCACAAAGTTTAAAAACTCTCAAACGAGGGATCACCGAGTCGTTCGTCCACTCAACGTCCTAAACGAAAAAAATGGGGAGCGAGAGAGTATTCATTCATAAAAAATCCTGCAAACTGTAAAAAGCTAACGAATAGATTTTTTTGTTTTTCAGGGCGCTGCGGTTGATGAAGCCGAAAAAACGAAGATTTTTTAAAAGGTTTGCTGGAAAGAATTTTAAAGTCAGTTGATTGCTGAGCTCAGCAAAAACGGTGTCAGTAGGAAGGCAGAGAATTTTAAGCAAGCACGGCAAATTGCCTATTTTAAAACTATTGTTATCTAAACTGATTATCTTCGTCATAATTAATAACCATACAAGAGAAAATACAAAAATTTATAATTTTGTGAACTAAGTAGGTACACCGGATTTAGTAGAAAGCCGCGGGTAGTAAAAAGCGACAAAAGGATAATTATGCAGGCAATAGGCAGCATAGTTCCCCGGCTGCCAAGCGTGTGAATGTAGCAATACCACCGAAAGCGGGAGGCTCATGTCCAGCAGTGGACTGCTGTGGCTGCAGTAGTAGTAGTAGTAGAGTAAACCTACGAGAAGTGTTGCTCTTTTTCCCTAACACCCTGTATTTGTAGCCTCTCGACAACGTAACACGTAGCTTTAACCTCCCACGTCCAACAAAACCAATAATCTGTATCAAAACAGACAGATCGTTTCCATTACTTATGCCGGCAATCTGTTAAATGCAACATCAGCCAATGAGCGAGCGAATCTCGAGATAACCTGACACGGGATTGGCGGATTTGGATTATGGCAGCCGAAGTACTGACAGCTATTGGTTGGATGATTGATGCCGTAGGGAATAATCGAAGAATATTTTCTTTGTATCAGAACTGGGATATATATGAAGAAGTAGATTGACGACCGTGGTTTTACTTAAGTCCTATTATAATATTTAACGTCTTTAGTAACTTTGCGGGGTTCGTTTATAAAAATCTCTAACTAAAGGGCATTTTCAGGGGCAAGGGCAGGTTCAACTTCTGTAACTTTATCTTAAGCATAGGCACTTACGTACGTAGTCACTTGAGTGCTCCCATACACGTAACGTAACAGATGAAGTTTACTTTTTCGTGCAATGCCCTATTGGCACGGTAAAACTGATTGCAGCGGGTAAAACCGCTAGAAAGGCTGCTTGTACTAATTACAAATTGCTATCCGCCCATTTTCTTATTTCTAAAAATATTTTTCTCTTTAAAGGGCCAAGGGCGAAATAAATACACACCATTACTCCAAGTCGGTTTTTCTTCAAAGCCATAGACCAGGAGCGATTTGCGGAAAAACCAACAGAATTTTTAAGAGGCTATTCCGTCCACCGCCTGTATTAATGAGCTTTGTGACCCAACTGCTAAATGGGCCGGGTCACCCTACAAACGGGCCCAATTAAGCACTTCTCCTTTGTAAATCTTGGCTTTTATTAAAAAGATAAATAGTCAGGTTTTTATTTATTTATTTATTGATATTACTTAACCTAATGTCCATTTTAACACCTGATGGGAGAAAAGCGCTCGATCTACCATGACTAATTTTTTTTTTTGGGTGTTTGTAGTCCGATAGCAGCCCAAAAAAGCTTAAAGCCTGAGCTAGGGCTAACTATTTGAAATACGACAAGAAACATTGAATGTCATCATTAATATCGAATATATAGGTCGAATGTATTGACCCTTAAAAACATAACAACGACATGAAAATACTTATTTTGTTTTACCTGAGGCTACAGGTAATTCCAACAACAGTGCTGATAACCATAACAGTCACAACCACAACAGTCCACTGCTAGACTTTGACCTCCGCCTATCGGGGGGTATTGCCATACTCACCACGCTTGCGAGCGCAGCGCAAGATGCTGCATTGACAGGGAACGCTGCTGCCTATTCCTAGGATAAATATCCCTTAGTCTTTTTACAACCGCCACGGGTACTTTGGGGTGATGCTCATTCCTAGGATGATAATATCCCTTAGTCTTTTCACGACAGCCACGGGTAGAATTGGGGTAATGCTATTCTAAACTGGTGGTCCAAACATGGTCGAATATTTAGTCAACTGTTTGAAAAAACCCAAACGAAATGACAACAAGATACTTACCAATATCATATACCTATTAAAATTTTGTCACTGTGTTAAGGTAAGACTTTACTGATTTATGCCTAGGAGCTACTAAGGCTAAGATACCCATTACACCAAGACAAATAGATTGAAAGATAGATTGAGGGGAAAAATTGAGAGGGCGACCTAGACAAACGTATAAAGATCAACATGAAGGAAAAAAATTAAGGTCATGTCGTACAAAAAGGTACAAAATAGACAAGACTGAAAAATACTTCATCCAAAGGATTGAAGCTAGAGAAGAAAACGATCATGACGATCATAAAGCAGACTTAAATTTCCTTAGAATGCCAATTTTCTTCTAAATTCGTCTTTAGCGTGAGGTCTTTTTCACTCAGCAAACTTTGGCCGGTATTTCAATTATTTACATTTTCAGAAATAAAAATAAAGAAGAGGCAACCTTGCGAACGTCTCATGAACAGCTGCTTCTGTTCAATAGGGTCTAGAATAATTTCAGGCATCAATCTCTCATTTCATTCAGTTTAAAAACATTTTCAATCTTTGCAACAACAATAATTATTAATTTTGGCATTCATGAACAATGATATTATATGTAGGTTTGTTCATCAATCGGTGCTTTGATAGTTTAGTGCCAGAGCGGTGGGGCGTTTACCCATGCGGCCCGGGTTTGATCCCCGGTCGATGCATCACGTTTTTTTCTATTTTTTAATTACTGTTTTATGGCAAGAGGAAAACCAGCTACTCAAAAACTTATACCAAGTTGCATGAGCCAAAGCATACTAAAAGGATAAGAATGTTTTACTACGAACAAAGATCCAAATTCTACGGGAAAACAGATCAGTAGCAGCGGGTGAACGGGCAGCTAGTGCCATATAAAATCAAAATTTTAGTGATCTTTGAATTCCGCATGATAAATTGAAAATGAGTAATCATGATGCTTTAAATCGTAGACGATTGAAGACTAGTTAACAAGACTAGTCTGGCTTCATCGTATTCGTTCCCAGGGCTCCTTGTACCTGTTTATTTTCTCTGAAACTACGATACTCAACTTCCAAAACGGTTATTTATCAATGTCAGGGTATTATTACACTTGAACAGTTTTGCTTGTGATCTTTGTTAGGTAATTACAATGGTGTTTCTCATTTTAGTCGAACTTGGCAAACTTAAATTTGTGATTAACGCCAATTTAATGAACAATGGCTTTATCATGGAAAAAATTGCGAACTGTAATATTTTTAGAAGTTTTTCATAACGTGATAAATTACTTAGCCGTGTGGTGCCGGATTAGAATAGCATCACGCCATGTCTTTCCTTCCAGGGCGTGTCGTAAGAAGCGACTAGAAGGAATTTGAAAATTAATGTGTACCTATTGCAATTTTAAACGACAGGCTAACAACATGTCACTACGGTGACATAGTCTTCTAAATAATTCTCAAACTTTTGTTAAACGTGGTGTTAAATGGCCATTTTACAGCCGCTGATATAGGCGTGATATAATATTATGATGTTTGTAAATCGCTAACGGGGAGCGCTCGTAACATTTCCAGAAGTTTTTCACCGTGTGATAATTTACTACAAACAACAACTAAGCCTGGGACTGGCCCAGACCGTTTTTCTAAAATTTGCTCTTGAATTTCACATACTTTTTACCCGATTGTTTCATAAGGAAGAAGATACACCTACTACGTTAAAAAAACGAACGTAAAAAGGTCGTCAACATGCTTAAAATCCTTGAAAGTCAAGGAATTAGATATTTTCACAGCAGAAGGATTTTCAAAGCAAACGCGATGATAAAGCAGATTCCTTGCTTTGTGACTTCCTGAAAATTTCTCAAAATCCTCAAACTCAGTGTCGTCTTTAATAGATACTTCTGCAACATCTTCCGAGAAATTCTTCGTGTTATTGTCTCTTGGATAAAGTTTGGTGTCTAAAATGTGCTAAGTTATTTTAAGACGAAGCTTTACTTGAGTAAAATACCTACAGAATAATTTGGGTGGATTTTGAAGTTATTCGTCAGAGCTATACGTAAGATGAACTTTGAAGTAAGCACAAAATAAGGAAGAAGCTCTACCGTCTACATCTATGTCCTGAGGAAGTGAGACTCTTCTCCTGTCTTGCTTGGTCATTTAGTAATAAACCACCCTACTCCGTGCAGAAGATCAGGGTTCGATTTTCAGTAACATTAATGTCGAAGATGTGATAAATGATTTGCTACATGTATAAGTACTTAACTTAGCCAAAACTACACTCTGCTAACCTTGCAAGTGATTACGGCGTGATGCAGTGTGCACTTTGACACTGATGTAAAAGACACTTCGCTTTACATCCGATGAAATTGTACTATAATTTAAATTGAAACAAAATGTGTCGCAATCAGAAATTCAATAGAGAAAATCAAACAGAAAAGTAAGAAATTCTAGTTGTCTTTGAAATCACAATACGATTCGATGCATTGTATTGCAGCGGGAAGGTGTCAAGTGCCTATTAAGGCGAAATACTCGGGTTCCGTATAAGCGGAAACTGAAATTTACAGACATGTGAGGAAAATATGATAGCAGAAACCTATAGTGAACAATTGAAAGGAATAAAATACTGCTTTCACTTACAGTCGGAAACAACGAGAAATTCAGAAATTGTTCTGTCTGTCACTTCTTTAAAATTGTTAATGTCTGCTACAACCACAAAGTAAGTATACAAATGCAGCAACAGCAACTACAACAAATGCATACGTAACCTAGAAGCCGGAGTAGAAACCCTAACACTGATTCCTCGAGCTGTTCGACGACTCGGTGTTCCGTTCACAAAACAGTGAAAAAAGTTTGTTTACAGTAGCACAGATACATATTAACTTTTGAAAAACATATCGCTCCTTTTGAGGCAGTCAGGTACAAAATAATTTGAAAAATTCTGCAGAAGACATTTGGAAAAGAGAACTCTAGAAGTGTTCCTAACGAGCTGAACCGTCGTTCACAGCAATCATATCGAACGTTTGAGACTCCGCAGCTTTTTCACTCAACCGAGAGACTTTCAAATCGAAATTACATTTGCATGAAATATTGGCTTCGAGGTTCGAAGTATACATCTTCAACCCTCGGTCTTAGTAGGAAAAGCGTCAACACAAAGACCTCTAGCACCAAGCTTTATAAGACCATTCGTCAGCTTGGTTCCTGTGGGGTAAATATGAGGCATGAAACAGAGATTGAACCCATGGAATTGTAAATTTTTTTACTTACTTATAGAGCAAATCCAGGAAATATTGAAAGACCCAGCAGTAATAAAGGCTGCTGCTCGTGTGAATTTTCAGTTTCTACATTCTAATGGAAAGTTCTTTCTAAAAACCCAAATACAATATTTTTCGAGAGATCTCTAGAAGTGTTCCTAACGAGCTGAACCGTCGTTCACAGCAATCATATCGAACGTTTGAGACTCCGCAGCTATTTCACTCAACCGAGAGACTTTCAAATCGAAATTACATTTGCATGAAATGTTTTATCAACCGGCAAACGGTGGAGACGGTCGGAATTGACACGAAAAGAGCAGGGTTTTATTTAACGAGCGAGAAATGGGGATAGTTTCGGATGAACTCATATTTTTATGCGTTTTCTTCTTGAAAGGGTTGACAGGAACGAACACCTAAAGGGACTTTCAGTGATGTAAAATCTGTTGATATTGATAGGCAAGTATGTATAGTTAACTATTTTAAGTTATTACCTCTTACGATAATATGTATACTAAAACCAACCAACTCACAAACCTAAGAAAAAAGATACAAAATCTAACCCATACAGGTACGGTAAGTTGGATCAGAAAAGTAGTAGATACGAAAAGTAGGTTTATTACTTAAGGCGTTCCGTTTTCCATACAAAAATTCAATGGAGTTATGTATGTAAAGGAGACAAGAGTCGGTTTAAAAAACTTGATGGGGAGTCCCGTGGGTAGGGTATATAAGATTGTCGCAAAACACTAAAAAGAATTTTTAAATCATCAGATTTCCCCGTAAAAAGCGAGTCGCCACTTTACGAAAATAGATGGAGCTACTGCTGCAATAAATACGTTTAATTTTATTGTGCAGAAAATACTGATTATCTTTTAACTATAAGTAGTTTTGCGACAAATTTACGTGTGCCTTCATCATTCAGAATAAAGTTTCTTTAAAAAGAAACTCTACAGCTCATGTGTAACCCGACTGAAGTGCAGTTTTTCGTTTGTATGACGTAACGAACCACCTTAAATGCAATTGGTATACGAGTATGATCGTTCTAAGTAGTTTCTCACTTGGCAGGCAGGATAGCGAGCGCAGTGTAAGGTCTCATACATAATCAAAGGGAACGCTGCCGCTCATTCCCCCATCTTTTACGGAACTCGCGGTTAGAAACGGGGTGATGCTATTCTAAGCCAGCACCACACAGCAGAAGCAGTGCGTAAAGTAGATTTATTTGCAATCCGTCTATTCACAACGGGAGTCCATTGTAGTCGCATTAGCGCTAATGAACCGACTTCGCACTGGTTTCACAGCGGGCTTTTAGCTTTCCTATTTACCATTGATAATATTAGTAAATAAAGCACGGTCATTCGAATAGGCCATATTTGACAGCTGTCAAAATTATACTAGAAGAAATGTCGTCAAAGAAAAATAGACGTTATGTCATAGAATTAACACGATTTTAAATCTGACAAATATTGCCCATTGGAACGGCCGTACTACAGGTACTATTACTACTACTATCGACAGTGAATCCACTAACCATTTAGGGGACCAAATTATACTCGTCTTTCATACAAATACTAAGAAAAACCAGTATAAGTCGATGCCTTAGGTGCATTTGCTAGCGATAGTAGGTAGGGTACTTACAAGGTAGATTGTTTAGTTTGGTTCGTTACATTATAGCATGCCACTAGGTACTTATTTGAATAACGCGAAACAACAAATTAGTATTGGTACCTGACTGGCACACATAAACCGTAAGAAAAAGATACCTATTACTGAACTATTTTCCTACAATCATAATAGGCAAGAAAATGGTCATTGCCTTTCATAGTTCTGTACCTACATACGCTACGGCAATACGAGCGATAGATTTTCGCTCACGTCAGGGTTAGGCCTAAACCAGTGCATTAAAGTTCAAACATAACTTGGACAACTTTGTAAATAAACGCAAAGTTTTCTTGAAGATAGAAATAAAGTTCTCCAGATGACACAAGTAACGCCATCTGTACCATTTCAACAAAAACTATTTGTCAAAACTTCGTACAACGCCACCTACCGGTTTGACCGCATACTACGTCCGCCTGATACCTGGCACCAGCTTCTTGAAACAGCGGATGAACGTGATATTAACAAAATCTAATAGATGGCGCTAGTATGAACAAAAATAATGAATAGCTTCCACAAGAAAATATATTTGGATATTGAAGGTGATTGCAATGCTAATGATTTAAATAATTATTAGAGGAAAAAATTGTATATTGGTAAATACCTGATTATTATCTGGGCTAGATGAGCCGGCGATCCAGAAGAGTTCAGCATTCTCCGGAAGGTCTTTCTCGTCAGCAGGATCAGGGCTCATGCACGGGATCCTGGTTTGAAGCACCAGGAGATGACCGCCATCTTCTTCTTCAGGCCTCCAGGCCCCACACATTGTTCCTACTGTTCTTTTCAGAACATAATCCACCATTTCATCTGAAA